TTAAACTTCAAACCAAAGGCGTGCTTCAAACACCTGCTCCGATCACGGAAAATGCAGCCACATACCGTGGGAAATGGGAATACTAGTGGCCACAACAACAATGGTCGCAACACCAATCACTCCGGGCAGCATCGCACCAACAACTACAATCGCAATCACCAACAAACTTGGCAGCAGCACTTCTCTTCTCGCGGTGATCAGTCATCTCGAGGATATCAAGGCCGCTGCCAGATATGCGGTGTTCACGGCCACAGTGCCAGACGTTGTTCACAACTGCAGAGTGCCGCTTACTCCACTGCTCCCTCCTCTCATCAACACTCGCCAAGTCCAACCTCGTGGCAACCGCGCGCCAATGTAGCGATAGCACAGCCTTACAACCCAAACAGCTGGATCCTCGACAGTGGCGCTACTCACCATCTCACCACTGATCTGAATAACCTCGCTCTACACCAGCCATACACTGGCGGTGAGGAGGTTACCATTGCAGACGGCTCAAGCCTCTCCATCTCGCATACTGGTTCCACATCCTTACCCACATCTTCTCGCCCTTTTACTTTAAATAATATCTTATATGTACCCAATCTTCAAAAAATCTTATCTCTGTGTTTCGATTGTGCAACGCTAATAATGTTTCTGTTGAATTCTTTCCTGTCCATTTTCAGGTGAAGGATCTCAGAACGGGGGTCCGATTACTCCAAGGCAAAACTAAGGATGAGTTGTACGAGTGGCCTCTTCCATCTCCCAAACCGACCTCTCTCTTTGCTTCACCTTCACCAAAAACATCCTATTCTTCTTGGCATTCTCGCTTAGGCCATCCATCTACTGCTGTTTTTCAAACCATTATTTCTCAATTTTCTTTACATGTTGTTTCTTCTTCACAAAAACATCCTTGTTCTCATTGTTTCATTGATAAAAGTCATAAACTTCCTTTTTACCAAAACACAATACCTCTTCTCAACCCCTTGAGTATATTTATACAGATGTGTGGACATCTCCAACTCTTTCCATCGACCACTACAAATATTACCTTATTTTTGTTGACCACTATACCCGATACACTTGGTTCTACCCTCTGAAACAAAAGTCTCAAGTCAAAGATGTTTTTATCCAGTTCAAGGCAGTAGTTGAGAAACATTTTGCCCTCACCATACGAAACTTGTATTCAGACAATGGTGGTGAGTTTATTGCTCTCCGTGTGTTTCTTGCGACCCATGGGATCTCGCACTTCACCTCTCCTCCACACACTCCAGAACATAATGGAATAGCAGAGCGCAAACATCGCCATGTTGTTGAGTCAGGGCTTGCGCTCCTTCATCAAGCTTCAATACCGGCGGAGTACTGGACTTATGCTTTTGCGACGGCAGTCTATCTCATTAACAGACTCCCAACTTCAGTTATTGCTCACCAATCACCTTATGCAAAATTGTTCAAGCGACATCCCAATTACTTGAAGCTGCGGGTCTTCGGTTGTGCATGTTATCCCTTGCTGCGTCCCTATGCGCAAAATAAACTAGACAGCCGATCTATGTTGTGCATTTTTCTCGGGTATTCACTTACACAAAGTGCGTACTTGTGCTTACATCAGTCTACTGGCCGAATTTATGTTTCCCGCCATGTTCATTTTGATGAGTCCACCTTTCCATATGCACAGAAGAAACCTACTCCACCCGAGGAACCAGACACAACACCGCCTATCTTCTGTTCACCAACCGTCATAACCATCAACCCTATGCCGCTCGTACATACTCAACCCGTTGCCTCCCCGGGACAGGATCCTCACCTGCAACACGCTCCTTCAGCTACCACTAGTTCTGCTACTGCAGAACAAGTTAGTCACGTGGGCTCAGGTATGAATTCACCGGTTCATAATAGTTCTGCACAATCTGATACAGCAGGTAATGATTCTCACTCCTCTTCTTCTTCTATACCTGAACCCACTCCTGCTCTATCACCCGAGCCAAATATTTCCTCACAACCGTCCCCACAACCAGTTCTAAATGCCCGTCCCATGAAAACCAGAAGCAAAAACCAAATCACCAAACCTTCAAAAAAATTTTCCCTCACCGCCACAACTAGACAGTCCTATCCCTCAATCCCAAAAACTGTGGCTCAGGCCATGCGAGATGAGAAATGGCGACGAGCCATGAGCGATGAATATGATGCGTAAGTTGCGAATCAGACTTTTGTTTTGGTTCCTCCCGAACCTCATCAACATATCATTGATACGAGATGGGTTTACACTAATAATTTTTTAGCAAATGGTGATTTTGACAGGCCTAAAGCACGTTGGGTTGCTCGTGGTTTCACTCAGGCTTACAGGATTGATTATGGAGAGACGTTCAGTTCTGTTGTCAAGTCTCTCACCATCCGGCTCGTCCTCCATCATGCAGTTACTCATTCTTGGCCGATCAAACAATTAGACGTCAACAACGCTTTTCTTCAAGGAAGGCTTACTGATGAGGTCTATGTGTCTCAGCCACATGGGTTTGAAGATAAAGACAGACCACACTATGTTTGTCGCCTACAGAAAGCTCTATATGGCCTTAAACAGGCACCCCACGCGTGGTACCAGGAACTTAAAAACTTCTTGTCTCAGATGGGATGCCATAACTCCACCGCTGACACCTTCGTCTTCACATACATCTCCGGCTCCACTGTTCTTTACATCTTGGTCTACGTCGATGATATTATCGTTACTGGCAGTACCACCACCTTGGTCAATGCTTGCATTCAGGTTCTTGCCTCACGTTTCTCTCTCAAAGACCCCAAAGATCTACATTATTTCTTGGGCATTGAGGTCACACGAACATCTGGGGGACTTCACCTGATGCAACAGAAATATATTATCGACCTACTGACCAAGATGAACATGCTTGAAGCCAACCCGGTTTCCACTCCCATGGCGACTACACCGAAATTATCTCTGCACACTGGTACGGCAATGGAAAATCCACATGAGTTCCAGATGGTTATCGGGAGTTTACAATACTTGGCCCACGCGTCCGGATATTGCTTACAGTGTTAACCGGTTATCTCAGTTTATGCATCAGCCAACTGATGAACATTGGAATGCAGCTAAAAGAATCTTGCGCTATCTCGCGGGGACACTGAGTCACTGCATCCATATCAGTCGTCACTCTCCTCATACCCTCATGCTTATTCTGATGCCGATTGGGCAGGTGATACGGATGACTTCGTCTCTACAAATGCGTATGTTGTGTACATGGGCTCTAGTCCGATATCTTGGTCTTCACGCAAACAAACTAGTGTCTCGCGTTCTTCTACGGAGGCGTAGTATCGATCTGTAGCTAACACAGCCGCGGAACTTCGCTGGGTTTGTTCTTTGCTTACAGAACTCGGCATCACCGTCACCACGACTCCGACTATATATTGCGATAATGTCGGTGCCACGTATCTTAGTGCCAATCCAGTTTTCCACTCTCGCATGAAACATCTGGCCCTTGACTACCATTTTGTTCGTGGCAACGTCCAGGCTGGTGCTCTACGAGTCTCTCATGTTTCCACGAAAGACCAGCTCGCTGATGCTCTTACCAAACCTTTACCACGATCACGCTTTCAGGAACTAATACGCAAGATTGGAGTTCTTAAACTCCCTCCATCTTGAGGGGGCGTGTAGACTTTATGTATAAAAGGGTAGATTAGTCTTTATGTATTACCTAGCTTAGCTCCCTAATCACTATAAATATTGTAATCTTGTTATCTAATGAATTATTCAGCCTCCATTCCTATACTTGGTTGTTACAAGCATGAATCGATTTCAAAATATGAATCCATTTCAAAATACTTAAGGGTAAAATATCTAGTACTCCTTACAAGTGTCTAAACTTAGGTTTTAATTATCCAACATGGTGCTGAAACTTATGACTGTTAGACGGACTGGCGAAAGCATTCAGGATGACCTAGTCCTAACTCTCCTGCAGAAAATAAAAAATGAGATTGATAAAAGATGAAAAAGCTAAGACCATGGATGCTTGGACTTATTTGATGGATGACAAAGCCTATTTGGCCATCTGAATATATATATATATATATATATATATATATATATATATATATATATATATATATATATATATATATATGACCTCTAATAATCCGTCTTTTCAGCCTAATTACAGTCATGGCTTTGATAACATAATGTAACTGTCTAAAGTAAGAGGATAACATAAATTAATATAGTGTAACTCATATCTAGAGTTATTATATGTTAAACATACTAGGAGTGACGTCTGGGAGACACAAGAGAAGTTTGACTAGATGACTTCTCCTCCACTATCTATTTTGTCGATAGTACACTGGCCACCTTGTACAAAAGGGGGTATTTGCTCCCAATGATTTTTCAAATCCCATGTAAAACTAACTTAGTGAACTCATGTCTAGAGTTATAATATGTTAAACATGCGAGGAGTGACGTCTGGGAGACACAAGAGAAGTTTGATTAGATGACTTCTGCTCCTCTATCTATTTTGTCGATAGTACACTGGCGGAGCCATATTGTACAAAAGGGGGTATCTGCTCCCAATGATTTTTCAAATCCCATGTACCACATTGAAGAATTTTAGACTCCTTTGTTTTTAGCAGTGTTCTAAAAACAGTTTAGAGATTGTTACATCTGTCTACATGCTAGATTGGATCTGAACGAATATTTTTAAAAAATTGATAGCTAATTTATGGTATTCCTAGCAATTTCCATAAAAAATGGTTTAGAAAGTCAGGTTGATAATAATTTTAGCGTTTGGTTATAAAGTTTTTATAGAAACAATTATTCCACCCACCTGGTCAAAAAGCAAAAATCATTTTTCTTCCACTGATTTAAACCCATTTTTGATTTACTAAAAAGAAAAGAAAAAGAAAAATCAAATGCGCAATTAAAGGTAAGAAGACTAGGTCAAAACTAAAAGTCGAATAAAACAGTGGTTTTGTTTATGTGGTTGTCGTCGTCTCTTTAAATTCTCCATTTTTAATATTCTTCCCCTTTGACCACCAAACCAGTCTCCCCCACCTCACCCTCCCTTCACTCTCTCGTTAACCACAAAAAATTGGAGCTTCAACGAACACAAACAGAAACAATGGAGCCAAAAGAGAACGGGAACCAATCTGATCATGTCATCGAAGGACCCACCAATCCCATGGTCACACCTCTCCTCAACGATCTCTACCAATTCACCATGGCTTACGCTTACTGGAAAGCTAACAAACAAAACGAACGATCCGTGTAAGCAAGCAAAACAACCCTCTTCATCATCATCATCCCTCTCTTCTCTTCCTATGTGGTAAGGTTTTGATTTTTATGTGCCTTACAGCTTCGATCTGTATTTTCGTAAGAATCCATTTGGTGGTGAGTACACTGTGTTCGCTGGGTTAGATGAGTGTATCAAGTTCCTCGCTAATTTCAAATTGACCAATCAAGAGATCGATTATGTTCGTGACTCCTTGCCTGGATCTGAGGTATCTCGATTTTTGAATTGGTCCCATTTGATTTCATGTTGTTGTTATTGGTTCTGATTCGATGTGGGTTTTGATTGAAATTAGGAAGCTTTTTGTGATTATTTGAGAGGGCTTGATTGTTCTGATGTTGAAGTCTATGCGATTCCTGAAGGGTCTGTTGTTTTCCCTAAGGTGCCTCTCATGAGAGTTGAAGGACCTGTTGGTGTGAGTCTCTTCTGTTCTGTAACTCTGTCTTGTTGTTTTAGAAGATTATAAATATGGTTTTGAGTGATTTGGTTGTTGTAAAATTTATCATAGGTTGTTCAATTGTTGGAAACTCCATTCCTCAATCTTGTCAATTTTGCATCTTTGGTAGCTACTAACGCAGCAAGACACCGGTTTGTTGCCGGAAAGTCTAAGAGTCTGCTTGAGTTTGGTGCTAGGAGAGCTCAGGTTTCTATAATACAAATTTTACTCTCTCTTGTTTCTTATTTATTATATATCGTTTCATGTTTTTTTTCTGATGTTTTTAGGGACCAGATGGCGCAATAAGCGCATCAAAATATTGCTACCTTGGAGGTTTTGATGCAACAAGGCAAGTCTTGGCATTGGTGTCTTTTGATCTTTGTCTTGAAACAGTTTTAAAGGAAAAGTATAAATAATATTCTTCTTTGTTTTGTTTATTTGCCAATTGCAGCAATGTGGCAGCTGGAAAACTTTTTGGGATACCTCTACGTGGAACACACTCTCATGCTTTTGTTAGCTCATTTATGGTCAGTTCACTTTTGAAAAAAATCATTTTTATGTGAAGGTTGTTATACTATTTTTAGCGAGTAGGGGAAATAACACTTGAAAATAAGGAATTCTTGCTAATCTGTGTGAATCACTAAAAATGTTCAAATCAATGCCTTTGTGTTAGGAATTTATTAGCAATTGGTATGATATACACTTGATATCCTCTGTTCCCCAATATCACTAGTGATACTTATCTTAAATTTGGCATGCAGAGCACTGATGAGATTGTTGACAAAGTACTTCACAGTGCTGATGGGGAAACCACATGTGAGGATTTTGTTAGTCTGGTTCAGACATGGTTAACTAAGATTCAGGTTTGCTTGATTTTTCCGCTATCTCTGCCTATATTCTTTTGAGAGGATCATTTTTGTACTCTCCCTTTAAAACATTTGTCCATGTCTTTTTCTTATTTTGGTTACTTGTGGATGATGATGATAGTATTTACCTTCTCTACGTGGCTTTTTCTCTGAGACAAATCAAAGCGAGCTAGCAGCTTTCATCTCATATGCACTGGCATTCCCCAAAGCCTTTCTTGCCCTTGTAGATACATACGATGTGAGTACAAAGCAGCATAATATATCTCATCTGAGCCATTATTTATTGGTACTAAATTTACAAAGTAATAACTGTTGTAAATTGTCTTTTATAGGTGATGAAGAGTGGGATCCCTAACTTCTGTGCAGTTGCTTTGGCACTGAATGACTTAGGGTGTGTAAGAATCTCTTATCATTACCTTATCTTTGTTTTTATTCAGGTGCATACGAGAATCTGAGATTCTTGATGGTGTTGTGGATGTGCAGATACAAAGCATTAGGTATTAGACTGGACTCGGGTGACTTAGCATATCTATCAACAGAGACCAGAAAATTCTTCTGCACAGTGGAGAACGAACTAAAAGTACCCGGTTTTGGGAAGATGGTCGTCACAGCTAGTAATGATCTAAATGAAGAGACGATCGATGCTTTAAACAAACAAGTGATTCCCTAACCCCACTCTCAAGTGCCACATAAGACATGATATTGTATGAAGCATATGCATTTTTTATTTTTTTTTTTTAATTTGGTAGGGACATGAAGTGGATGCTTTTGGTATTGGCACTTATCTAGTTACTTGCTATGCGCAAGCTGCCTTAGGTTGCGTTTTCAAACTTGTGGAGATAAACAATCAGCCTCGGATCAAACTTTCTGAAGATGTTACAAAGGTTATAACTCTTTCTCTAGGGCTTCTATTATTCAATATAACATAGCAGTTAATTTGATTATTATCATTATGATCTGTTTAGGTATCAATACCATGCAAAAAGCGAAGTTACAGATTGTATGGAAAAGAAGGTTACCCTCTGGTGGATATAATGACAGGAGAGAATGAGCCACCTCCAAAGGTAACAAAAGAGAAAGCTCTCTCAATATATATTTACTAATATCATTGCCATACATGATTATTCCTTTTTTTGATTGTACAGGTTGGTGAGCGTTTACTGTGTCGTCATCCTTTTAATGAATCCAAAAGAGCATATGTAGTGCCACAACGTGTTGAAGAACTCCTCAAATGTTACTGGCGTGGAAGTGCTGGTAAAGATTTTTCATTACTATAAAACCATATGATTCGTTTCAACTTTAACTGATTCTGCGTCTCTCTCTTTGTTTCTATGATGAAGATGAAGCACGAGAAGAATTACCACCACTGAAAGACATAAGAGACCGTTGCATCAAACAGCTTGAAAACATGCGATCTGATCATATGAGAAGATTAAACCCAACTCCTTACAAGGTTTATATTCTCTCCTACAAAAAGGTTTCGAAACTCATGTTCTGGTTTTATAAAAGATTGGTGTATATGTTTTTCTATGGTTGCAGGTTAGTGTCAGCGCGAAGCTGTATGATTTCATTCACTTCCTATGGCTCAACGAGGCACCTGTTGGTGAGTTGCAGTGATGACTAAAAAGAAGAAGATAATTGCAGTGGCGACCAAAAAGAAGATAATCTTGTTCTGGTTGGAGTAATGTATATATCATATACCACATCATTAATACTTGCAATAAGAGTTTTTCAATTAGTTTTTTTTGTTTTTTTTTTTTTTTTTTACAACATTTGATTGATTTCATATATTTTTGTCGTAAGAAGTTTCATCTTCTTGAAGAGGAAACAAACTTTTTGCGCTCATTGACATTTTTTTGATTTGATTCATATTAATAGTTGAAATGAATTCAACATATTTCAGTGGTTGGTGATTAATAAATATATTTAATAAGTGAAATGTAAATTGAAATATACCAACGTTGGTATAGTAATAACTTCTTTGGAGGGAAAAGAGTGTTTTCAAACTGTACTTTTTCATTGTATTTACTTTATGATCGTCCACTCCGCACAAGCACCGGGATTATTATTGTTAGTGTTGTATTATTTTTATCTATAAAGGTGTGACTCATGTGTTGTGGAAATTCTTTTTGAGACTTGAATATATTAGATTATTTATTGCTTCATAAAAGTTTGTGGTCAGGTTTTGTAAATGAATGTTTGTTGATATAGGGATAGATTGTTTTATGTTTTATTTGTTTTATTGGACTTGGATATATATATATATATATGTGTGTATATTATGGTATTAACAAGTTGTTTAACTGTAGTTTATCACTATTTAATTTGCTTGCATCTGTTTTCATCTAAACATCGTAAGTTCTTTTTTAAAGAGCAATGAAATAAAATCAAGAGTTTTATGCTCTCAGTCTGAATGCATGGCTACATAGCAGATATTTATACAATGTTTACATGAGCTATGTTTCTTTAGGAATGCATGTTGACATGTAACATGTAGTGATTGATGCATTTAGTTGTGGACATTATCAATATGCAAAATGCAGTCAACACTGCTTTTTAAAAAATAAAAACTTAGTAATTGTTCTCTTCATAGGTGAGAGTTTTCCAAAAATTAAAGAGAAAAACCAAAGTTAAAAGTCATATATATAATGGATTCAAAATCATAACAACTCTGAAAATACAGAACATACATATTGAAACTATCATTCACGCGTGCATTAGCGACTATTCTCTTCTACTTCAAAACTGGCAGGATTTGGTTCATCATCTTTTGCTGTAACAATGTTGCTGGTAGATGCAGTTGATTCTTCACATTCGTTTGTCACTTGTGTGAGAATGTAAACTGCAGGCCTAATAACACAGAAGAAGACATTCTCGAAGGAGGCGTCTGGCTTTTGGCAAATAGATGGAAGAATAGAGGGTGTCGGTGTATGTGGATTGGACTCACGGACCTTTTTATTTATTTATAGAGTCTGAATTGTTCTTCTGATTTTAAAACGAATAAAGTTTGGATCGTAAATAAAAGGAGACGGAGAGTCGTGGGAGTAAATAGGTTTAATGAGAACAACATATTCATTAAACATGTGAAGTCAAAACGTTGAATAGGGTAAGCAATAGATGTAGATGAAGAGACATGGGAGATAAAACATGAAGGGGAATGTCTGGTTTTTCTCAAACAATGGATGACACACAGTTTAATAGTCGACAGAAGAGTTCAATAACAGAAGAGACGCCTCATGACCTAAGCCTAAACGCAGAGTTTTGTTATCTTTGGCTAAGTGTTTTAGAATGGCTTCTAAATATACATTCCAAACTCACACCAGCCCACACAAAATTATACCAAATCAAAACACATTGATAAGGTGGTTGACCGGATGGAATAACACGCAGATCCTAGAGAAGTCTTGAAACTCAACCATTATAATATAGTACCCGTGCAAACGCGGTTTCGGAGATATAATTGGTGTATTATATAATTTTATTATATCTTTTGATGTTTGACATATAAGCTGGACCGATATAGCGTGTGAAGTCTTTTGTATTAGTCAATAAAGTTTTCAAAAGTTCTATATATCCGCAAACATTATGCAGTCATGTTAAATGTCAAAGGTTCTTCTCAATCTTCTCTAATTCTCATAAATTTCCCATTTTTTATATTCTGAGAATCCCATAAACGGAGGCGAAAAACAACCATAAATTGAGCAGTTCAACCAAAGTAAAGAGAATCAAAAGTTGAGACGCATGCAACGACTTTAGCAACCGAAGCAAAAGCCGAAGTTATTTTCGAAAAGATGTGATAATATTTGACTGGAAAAATAATTAATGAGAAAATCAGAGATGAATGGTTTCTCCATTTAAATAGAGTATATATTAAGTAAAATTCAGGAGGTATTATGAACATGGTTCATTATTACTTAACGGAGTAAATGGGTACTATTATGCAATTTTGTTAAATACCAATGTTCTTCTCTTTCTCATAATTTAGCCATTTTTATGTTTCGAGAATCCCATAAACAGATGCGGCCAAGGTAGAAATAATCAAAAGTTAACATGCATGTAAAGGTTTTAGGCTTTGATTAATACATCTGATAATAAAATAGTAGCAATATGTTGTAGAAGCATTATATTGTAGAAGATGTATGCTCTTACAATTTTTTTTTAATAAAGTGATTAATAAAACAGTAGCAGTATATAAATTTATAATTATCATAATATTTAGTACTCCCTCCGTTTCAAATTAATCCATATTATAGAAAATTTCTTTGTTTCAAAAAGATCAATTTTTACATTTTCAATACAATTAATAATGATAAATAGTAGACTTTATTGAATTTTGATTGGTTCAATAGTTAAACACAAAAAATAATGCACTTATAATCAAAATCTTAGAGGTTTTCATAATATGTATGATAATTCTAAAACATTTATCTTACTGAAACGGAGGGAGTATATAATATATATTTTTTAAATAAATATATATTTATAATATATATTAATAGCATTTTTAATAAAATAATGAATCTTACTCAATTACACAAATGGTTTTATATTTTAAATGTGAAATATTATTTTTTTTTAAATATATCTATAATGTATTTTAAAAATACAAATTTATTTTTTCATATAAACATAATTTTAATATTATTACATAAAATAATAAAAATTTACATAAAATTTATGTATAATTAATTTATTATTTTATTATTGGTAGAGCATTAAATGATTAATCATTTATTTTTAAATAATATAAATATGTTTATATCTATAATATTTCATTATATTAAATTTAGGTTTGTTATTAAAAATAATGATTGATAAGTGTAATTATATAAATTATATAATATTTAAAATGTGAATTACTAGTTTTAAATTAAAAATATTTAATTACATTTTTTGGAAAATAATTATGTATAATTATTCTTAATTTTTATATTTTCTAAGAAAATGATCTTCCAAAAGTTCCATATGAGACATTTGAGCAAATATCATTTGGAGAACATTAGCATCTTGTAAATGAATTTCTAAATGTTTTTCTCCTAAATGTTGATTGGATAATAAGAGTATAATTCTTATGATAATACTACCAATAAATCCATCAACATCTAAAGCTGAAGATGAAGTCATTTCCGAGAAGATGTAATAAAATCCGTCTAGAAGAAAAATCAATCAGAGAATCAAATATAAAGGAAATTTTTTTAGATAGAGTATATATTAACCGGAATACATGATGTGTGATGAATGTGGTCTATTGTTAATCAACATAATAAAAATAGGAGATGTAAAGGTAGAGTAAGAAAAAGTGATTCATGAAAATAAAAACACTCACTCTATGAATATGAAAATATTGTGAATTAATGATTAATCGGGGATACCCAGAAATTAAATACTTTATTTTATTTATAAAATAATATAGGTAAGATAGTCTACTATTCCTAAAATATGTCAAGTATCCATAGTAGTCTGGTGGTAAAAACTTTGTTTGAAAAGTAAACAATCTGGGTTTGATTCCTGATCAATCCATTTTTATTTTTCTTATAGTGGGACCCACAAATATGCTGACGTGGCGTGCTGAGAATGAGTAAAGTGCCTCATTATAATATAGAACTAGATCATAACCCGCCCGACTGGGCGGGTCTTTATTTTTATGGTATAGATAACATTTCAAAGTTACAATTTAATGGTTCCAATTTTACTAAGTAATAGTATATTGTTTAAACATTGTATTTCATTATTGTATTGGGTAACAGGGGCGTCGTAAAATGTTGTGACCTGTAAACATTTTAGTAATAGTTTATAAATTTTTTTGACTAAATTTGA